TGGGTGCTCACCGTAAAGCCGGTGCAGCCCCCACAGCTCGTCCTGCGACAGCGCCTTCCAGCCCCGCAGCGTGGCGTTGAGGTGCATGAGTGCCTGGCCGTGCTGTGAGTGCATCAGGCCCAGCGCGTGGCCGATCTCGTGCGCCGCCACGTGCACCAGGTCGGTAAGCCACACGCCTGCAGGCCCCTCCGGTCAGCGCCTCGGCCCGCCCGACCTTTGCCCGCCGCCCCGCGCATCTGCTGCAGCATGCAGCGGGGCCGCCCTGGGCGCAGCCGCGGGGCAGATAAGAATGTTCCAGGCCGGCCGAGGCGGTGAGCTCGGCCCCCAGGAATGCAGCTCCAGTCCGTCTGCAGCGGCGTGGGGGTGGGGGAGCTTCAGGGTCCTGGGACCCTGGCCCCTAACCTCCTCACGACCTCCCCGTCCTTGCCCGCTAGACCCCAAATCGTAGCCCTCCCCCAAGCCCGGTGCTGTGGCCACCGTGGTGCGGAGGGCCCCACAGGCGGCCGGGCCTGCCGTCACCTTTCTTCCAGCTGTAGCGCGTGGGGCCCAGGACCCAGTACTCGCTGTCGTCAAAGTGGATGCCGCCGTGCGGGGGGAAGAAGGCGTGGGCCAGCTCGCCCGTGGGGCCGTCGAAGCAGTGATGCAGCGCGGAGACCAGGCAGTCCGTGTGGTTGATGGGGTAGAAGCCTGGGGGAGCACAGGTCTCAGCGGGGGGCCTCGGGGCGGGCGGGGGGGGGGGCACGGCGCCCACCTATACGGAGGTCGCTGGTCTGCTCGGGGGCCACCTCACGGAAGCTGAAGGGGGACACGTCACTCCACATGCGGAAGGCGGCGGCCAGGCCCCGCCGGGTCTCACTGGGGCTCAGCAGGTTCCGCGGGAAGGAGAGGATCCTGGGGTGAGGGTCGAGGTCGGGAGTGGTGCCAGCTGCTGCCGCTCCCCCCCGGGGCGGGGTCTCACCTGTACGTCAGGTTGAAATGGTCCCAGCGCAGCCTGGCCGGGGTCAGCGTGTAGCGGCGTCTACGGGGCGCCTGTGGGGGCAGCGGACCGGCGTTCGGGGTGGCGAGGACCCCCACAGGATGGGGAGCGACGTCTCCCTTCAAGAGAAGCAAGTGCTCTGGGGACACAGCAGGAACTGAGCCTGCGTCTGGAACTCCGGAAAAGGGGGCTGGGAGTCAGCTGGGTGGGGGTTGCATGGTGGAGAGAGCTTGACGGTCCCGTTTTTTGTCTTCCTGCATTTTCTGGTCTTCTACCCCCAAGCGAGCATTTCTTTTGCCGCCAGAACAAAATAGGTTAGTAAAGATGAGCCAGGTTGGTGGGCGGAGCTGGAGGACAGAGGCTGTCCCCCGTCCCACTGCTTGCAGACACAGACGTGCGGACACTCGGACTCTCGGGTCGGACCGCAGAGCGGGGAGGAACTCACCTGCTTCGCGCCTGCCGCGGGCCTGGCACCTGGGGCCCCCAGCTGGGCCAGTGACAGGAGCACAGGCAGCAGGCACAGGATGCCCAGCACGGCCCTCAGCCAGCCGGCCTGCGCGCGGGCCCCCAGCGCTGCCCAGGGGACACAGGCCCCGCGGCCCATGGCGCCCGCGGACTCGCTGTCGGGGCTTGGGGCGCGTGGGCTGTGGGACCTGCCTGAGCGGGAGCGGCCCAAGAAGGCGCCAACGCGGCTCGGGTTACAGCCCTGAGGTGGGGGGCGGGAGGCAGGGGCGGCCACCCCCGAAGGGAACCAGCTGGCCATCCGGCTGTTGGTGCCGGGACCCAGGGCCTGCGGGTGGGTGGCAGTGGCCTGGGCAGGGCCTGTTGGGCGGGGCCACTTGGGCGGGGAGGGGGGTGGGGGCGTCGAGAAGAGCGCTGGCTGCCAGGGAAAGGACTGATGCCAGGAGCTCAGGATAAGGCAAGGATGGTCAGCTGGGGTCCCCAAAACAGCTGGAACTGAATGACCTGGCTGTTTTCTCCCCAATGGACTCCCGTCTCTCAATGCCCTTGACACCGAATGAGACCTGGGAGTGGAGCCTCCATCCTGGCCAGCCCAGGACACGTTCCCCGCCGGCGCTGGCCCGTCAGGGTCCCCCAGAGAGGGGCGGGATTGCGGCGGGAGGGGACGTGGCAAGTGAGTACCGGAGGCTGAGGGGGAAGAGAGGCGGGGTAGGTGGCCTGGGGACGGCGCCAGCAGGGAGGGGGACCTGCAGGAGTCCCACCAAGAGCTGGAAGAGGCCAGAGGAGGGACCCCCTGGGAGCGACATGGGGAAAGACGCACGAGGGCGGGGGCAGTAGGGATCCAGGAATCCTGAGTGGCTCTTTGGGGCCAAGCGAGGACCCGAGTCTGAAATGGTTCTTGGTGGGGGCTGGGGGATGGTGTCCTGAGGCCAGAAGACCGGACTGGATGGCCTGGCTTCAGGCAGGATGTTGGCGAGGGCGCCTCTAGGCTGGGAGAACAGGGATCTGGAGGCCGGGGTGGGGGTTGGTGTCCGAGTGGACTGGGGGAAGGGAGCCGGGACTGGGGGAGGGGAGTCGGGGCTGGGCGGGTGTCAAGAGGAGGGGCAGAAGGCACCCAGCCAGAGAGCCCGGGGTCCTGGCCCTCCCCCTCCATCCAGGCCTTGAGCCCAGAGGGACATTTGGAACACTCAGCCAGCGGGGTCAGTGCCAAGTGCCTGGCGAGCAGCCGCAAGGCTCAGGAGAAGCATTTCGGGTGGTTCTTGGAAAGCCTGCTCCGTGGGCCCAGCCTGGACAGCGCCCCCCTCTTCGTGGCTAAATATTTGTCCCCAAAGACCCATCTCTGGTCTGTACCCTGCCCAGGTCCTGAGACCTTGCCGGGACCCCTCGCCTGAAGCAGACGCCTCACCCCACTCCCTGCTTAACTAGGACCCTACAGCGAGAAGCGGGTCCTGCTTTGGTCCAAGCCTGTCTCCTCGGGCCGTCCCGAGAAAAGAGGTGGCGCTGCCGGGGGTCGCAGGAAGGCCCCCTGCTGGACGAACAGTGAGGTTCTGGGCCCCATCTTTTCTCGGACCCGGGCCAGGGTTGTGGGAGGCGGTCTGTGCCGAGCCTGAAGAGGTTTCTGGCCCAGAGGCGGGAGTCTGAGCAGGAGTCTGGGTGAGTCCCGGGAAAGGCAGGGCGCGGGTCGGGAAGGGGCTGGGCAGGGCGTCTGGCCAGAGCGCTGGGCCCAGAGCAGGGCCTGCGGCAGAGGATGGGCTGGTGAGGACAGCCCGGATGCGGATGCGGATGCGGATGCGGGAGCAGCGCTACGGGGTGGGACCCCGGGAGGGAACAGCGCCGAGGGCTATCTGTCTCCAGGGCGAGAGGACCCACGACCCATCCAGCGCCCCGCCCCCCGCCCCAGACAGGTACCAGGCGGCCAGTCCGCGAATCTTTTTATAAAACACGGGCGTGGGGGAGGGTGGCGCGCGAGGGCGATGGTGGGACGTGGCCCGGAGCGAGAGGGGCGCGGCTACACGAAGATCTGGATGCGGTCGCGGATGGGCTGGCGGCAGATGGGGCAGGCGCTGAGCGCGGCGCCGCAGGGCGCGCATGCGCCGTGGCCGCACTGGAACACGAGGCGGATGTGGCTGTCGATGCAGATGGGGCAGGTGATGCGCTCCTCCATCTGCCGGTAGCGGTTCTGCAGCTCCTCCACCAGCTGCCGCGGCGGGCCGGGCGCGGAGGCCACACTGGCCACCTCCGTGCCGTCTGCGGGAGGGTCCGGGGCAGGGCCGGGTCAGGGCCAGGTCAGGGGCGGGCGAGAGGCTCGGGAGCCGGCGCCGAGCCCGCCCCTCCCGCCCCACCCACCTGGGCGCAGCTTCTTGGAGATGACCACCTGGCACCTGATGCACTTCTTCATTCTGCGCGCGCACTCTGCGGGAGCGAGCACGAGGTTGGGCCCGTTCGCGCCGCCCTTCCCCCTCCCCCTCCCCCGCCCCTCCCCGAACCCCGGCGCCGCGCACTCACCCTCGCACACCGTGCGGTGCTGGCACGGCGAGAACGACACCAGCAGCGCCAGCTCCGAGCACACGAGGCACTCGGCAGCCTCGGGCCCCGATGGCGCAGCCACGTGCAGGTTCGTCACGGTGTTGGGGGTGCTGAGCACCAACCTGGGGCCTGGGGCTGCCCCGCCCACCTGCCGCTCTCTGCAGTTGGAGGAGGGGGCTTGAAAGGGCCCGGGGTGAGGGACCCGCCCCCCACTCCCCACCTCACCGGGCTCACCGGAAGCGCTGGGCACAGCCCTGCAGGGTCTTGAGCACGTGGCCCTCCGCGGCAAGGTCCAGCGGGCTCAGTCCCCGGTGGTTGGCGTAGCTCACATCTGCGCCCTCCAGCGCCAGGTAGCAGGCGACTGCCTTGCTCACTGTCAGCTCCGCGCTGCTGCTCGGGAGGCCTGAGGCCTGTAGCTGGGTGGCAGACAGATGCGGTGAGAACCCTAGCAGCGGAATGCTGGTCTGAGGGAGCCTCTGCGGGCACCGGCTGCTCCGGGCCAGGCACCCGCTCTGCCCACCCCGCCCCCTGCCCCCCGCCCTGTGTCAGAGTTCTCTGGAACTGAGGCAGGCAGGAAAAGCGCCCTTGGGGACAGCTCCCGAGGAGGGGCCAAGTTCTGAGCCCACCCCCACCCCCTTCCCGGGCTGGTCAGGACACAGAATCTCAGGGATGCTGGCCATGCTCTGTGAAGATGCCTCCTGCAATCTGTGGTTCCCCCAGACTGCTGCACCCCCGAGAGGGCCTGGCTCTGGGCTGTCACCCATGAGGGACGTGGACAACCACTCAGGCCCTGCCGGAGCCTGCAGCCAGGTCCACACTTCCTCACCCTGGACAGCAGCTGCAAGGGCCCTGGGTCCCCCCCAGCCCCATCTGCCACCAGGGGCAGCAGCTGGTGATGCCGCAGTGCCACGTGCAGGGCCGTGTCCCCCTCCTCATCCTCGGCGTTGACGCTGCAGCCAGCGTCCACCAGCAGCAGCAGCAGCCTGACGTGCGCCTGCCTCACGGCCAGATGCAGCGCGGACTGGAGCTTGTGGTTCCGCACATTCACATCACAGCGGCCCTGGGGGGCGGGGGCGCAGGCTCAGCACAGGGACCCTAGTGGGCCCTGACTCCCAGTCCCTGGGCCGGCCGGGGTCCCGTGTGCACACCTCTCGGATGAGAGTCTGGGCCACCTCCCAGTGGTTGTTGAGAGCAGCCAGGTGCAGGGCCGTGAAGCCGTCCTCTTTCTTGGCATCCACCAGCTGCCGTGCCCGAGCCAGGATCCTCCTGACGGCTCTGTGGGAGCAGGGGGACGTGGCTGGGGTCGGGGCATCCCCGGAGTGGCCCAGTGTCCGCAGGAGCCTGGCCACCAGATGTGTGCCCACCCCAGACTCACAGCACATGGCCCTTGAGGGACGCGTGGTGCAGCAGGGTGAATCCTTGGCCGTTAGTGGCAGTGACGTCGATGCCTGGCACCGCGGTGAGGACCTCCACAATGCCACTGGCGCCGGCACCCGCTGAGATGGCACAGTGCAGGGGTGTGTTGGCATGAGCATCCTGTCGGTGGTGGGTCAGGGGTCACTAGGTGGTAGGTCACTGCCACTGTCTCTTTGAGCCCAGGGATAGAACCAGGGGCCCTGGCACTCACCGGCAGGTTGACGTCACAGCCACACTCACACAGGACCCTCACCACCTCCAGGAAGCCCCTCTGCACGGCCACGTGCAGCGCTGTGCTCTGGGCGCCGTTGAGAGCATTAGCCCTGCACCCAGCACCCAGGAGCACCCGGGCGGCCTCGGGCTGGTTCCTGGTGGGAGAGGGAGCAGGAAGGGTGCTGTGCCCACTGGCTGGACGGCAGGCCCAGCCCCCGCCCTCCCGGGCCTCACCCCAGGGCCGCGTAGTGCAGCGCCCTGTTGGCCTCGTCGTCCGGCAGGTCCACGTCGGCCCGAGCCTGCAGCAGCAGCCGCACCAGCTCCACCTGGCCGAGGTAGGCAGCCACCTGCAGGGCAGTCCTCCCCTGGTTCTTGGTGTCCACCTGCAGGGAGAGCCAGCAAGTCAGCCCCTGGGCGGCCACCCCCTCCCTGAGGCAGGCGGCACGGGCAGGAGCGTGGGCTCTCGGGCTCGCCTGCTGGGGGTGCCTCCGCGCTAGGTCCAGGGCCCGGGCCACGTTGCCCAGGGCCACCTCCACCACCAGCCTGCCGGGGTGCTCTGCGTCACTCTTCTGGGCTCGAAGCCTGTCCAGGGCGACGCTCAGGGAGCCTGGGGGGTGGTGTGGTGGGGCTGAGATCACGTGCTGGCTGGGGGCAGCCCCGCCTCCCACTGGCTGCCGGAGCTGGGTGCCCGCACTTTTGTTCTCCCGGGCACGCTCAGCCACGTCCAGGTTGGCCTCCTCCTCGGGCCGGTAGGCCACCAGGCAAGAGGGGCTGAAGGTCCACAGCTGGCCACCAACCGCCACACATAGAGTCCCGTCTCCAAACAGCTTCACCACCTTCCCGACGCAGCCCAAGGCCTAAGTGGGGAGAGGAGGGGTCATAGGTAGGTCTCCCGGGGGTGGGGGCGGGGGCGAGGATGGGGGGTGGAGGAGGGACTCACAGAGGCCATGTCATCTGTCCACTCGCCATGCCTGGCCTGTAGCCGCTTCACCGTGTCCAGGTCGTCTATGACCCGCACCACGTCCCCCACCCAGAAGGAGTTGTGCTGAGTGAGAGAGAGGCCGTAAGGGGCCCAGGCAGGGGCGCGGAAGGGCGTCCCCACCAAGCTCCACAGGACAGGCAGGCCTGAACTTGACCCCAGCCCTCGCCCAAAAGCACAACCAGAGGGCTACAGGTGACTGGGGCAGTCCTGGGTAGCCCAGCTCCAGAGCCATGGGAGTGGCAGCTGGGCAGTGGCATCCAGACCAGACAGAAGCCAGCTCTGGGGTGAAGTCTAAGGCGGGACTGTCCCTGTGCACACAGACGGGGGAGCAGACAGCATGTTCAAGGCCATCGAGGCCAGACTGGAAGAGTGTGGGAAGCATGGTGGGGAGGCATGGTTCCCGGACGAGGGCTGGAGTCTACAGCACGGGGCCAGGCCCACGATGACGGGAGCAGGGCCAGAACAGCATGTGGGGGTGAGACCAGGGACCACCTCCCCACCCCCAAACCTTTCCTGGCAACTCCCCCACACCTGTGCCCTCATCTGTACAAAACTACAGACCACCTACCTTGTGAGCCCCATCCTCAAAGGGGTCTCAGACTCCAGGTCTCCAGCGGAGCGCTGGCGTGCCCCCTCACCCGCACCTAACCCCTGCCAGGGCCCCATCCACGGATGTCACCCTCCTGCTCCTCACTGACCTCCCTCCTCCATTATGCATCTGCGAAATTCTACTTCCAAAATGCCTCTCCCCAAGCCCAGCGCCCTGGGCAGAGCATCCACCTGTCCTAATGGGCCTTCCCACACCCTCGCCGCTGGGTGCATTTGAGAAAGCAAACCCAGCCACACCGCCTGCCCGCGACGCTTCCCGGGCCTTCTCCAGCCCCCGGAGAGACACCAGGGTCTGACCTGCCGGCTCCAGCTGCCAATGGCTCGCGTGCTTTGCCCTCCTGTAACCCGCCACACCTGGATCCCCTCTCAAGAGAACTGACCCCCACCAGGCCCTCCCCCTTCCTTCGGGGGTGAGCAGGTACATGGAGGGGGTGCGGAGGGGACGGGGCTTGGCCCAGCCCCCCATGCACCTTGGTGAGAGCCCTAGGGTGGAAGGTCCATCGGGTCTCGTGGCTGAACTGCACGCGCACGTCCCCACGGTCTGTGATGCGGTGCACGGTGCCCGTCTGTCCGATAAACTGTGGCAGGTCGTGGAGACTGTGGCTGGGTGAAGCAGGAGGGCTGGGCATCCAGAGGATGCGAGGGGGGGCGGGCACGGGGCCAGTGGGCGGGGCAGCTCACCTCTGCCATCCTGGGGTTCCACCCGCCGTGGCCTTCCTGCATCTCCCTCAGGACGTCTGTGTCTAGCAGACACTTGACTTTGTCCCCGTGCTGGAAGGTCTGGCTGTCAGCACTCACCCTGCGCTGCAGCTCTGCTGGCTTGCCTGGGGACAGGCAGCAGGCCCAGCTCAGGCAGCGCCCCCTCGCCTCGTCCCCTCAGCTGGGGCAGGAGGGCGGCTGAGCAGCCCTTACCGAGTACAGGGAGGTGCTCCTTGTAGTAGAAGCCACCAGCTGCCTCTGCCACACACTTGAGGTCCACTTTGCCCTTGTGGCCCATGCGGTACACATTAGTGGTGCCA